AGTAATAATAATAATAATAATAATAATAATAATAATAATAATAATAATAATAGTAGTAATAATAGTATATAAACAGAAAGTAAATTGCAGAAAGTAAAGTGCAGAAAGTAAATTACAGTAATAATAGTAATAATAATACTAATAATAATAATAATAATATTTCTATATATATATATATGCGATAAGTAATTGGCAGGGAGTAAAGTGCGTAAAGTAAATAAAGCAATAAAATTACAACAGTAGAAATAAGCAATAACATTAAGCAATAATAGTTAATATTTATAACATATATATATATATATATATATATATATATAAGTATCCACAACTATTATTATTGTAGTAATAATATTCATAATCATTCCTTTAGGAACAATAAGAATAATTACGACTGCAATAACAATAATCGGAATATAAATTTATAACGTCTTAACGGAACGGAATTTACAGAATAACACTCGGATTTTAACTGGATAAACACTCGAATTTTAACTCACAACATAAAATAAAATTACACACACAAGTGTTTCAAGTACCAAATGAAAATAAAAACAAGAACAAGAACATCAAGAACACTAGAAAGTGTTTGTACTAATTCTAATATTTGTATCTAAGAACTCAAGCTAAAACTTCCTTTCCGAACTCTCCCTTAAGACCTCTCACAAATGATGTATTTATACTAGTTCAAGAGGGGACAAAATCACATCAAAATCATCTTAAGATCATTATGCATTAATGGCTAGCATATCTATCAAAAATCAGCCCAAAATCTTCCAAAATCCGCCCAACATCCATGTTTGAAAAGTGGGCGCCGCCCATGTTGAACAAGACTTGGCAGCTTGCGCGGTTTTACGGTTTTGGCTCGTACGGGCTCGTCCGGACTCGGAATTGAGTTCCGTTTTCTCCTACGCGTAGCTAACGAACCCCTCTTCAATTCAATGTCATATACTGGCCATAATTAGTTACAAAAGTTGCCCCAAAGTTATGCTGAAAAGTGGCCGCGGCGCGAGGCTTGGACAGCTTGCGCGGCTTTACGGTTTTTTCTCGTTTGGGATCATTCGGACTCGAAATTTAGTTCCGTTTTCTCCTACGCGTTACTAACGAGCTCTTCTTTCCAGCTATGCTCAAAAGAGCAATTTATCTTGTAACTCAAATCTTCACGGGGCTCGATACCAATGCGTCGGAAACGATAACTCTCGAAAATCCAGACTTATTATACCTGAAATTACACCAAAAACCGGAAAAACACAAAAACACACGAAAATACACAAAAACACACGAAAAACCACAAAATACACAATAAATACTAGAACAACAAAAATAACCGAAAACAACTAAATGGACCGAAAGACCTTCTAAAAGACCTAAAAATGAGGGAAAATAAATGTAAAATAACAGTAAAAAAAACGTAACAAAAATAATCACAACAGAGGCATTCTGGCAACAAAAAGCGAGGGCACTGTGGTTTAAGGCAGGGGACAATAATACTAAATTTTTTTCATGCATATACCATGCAAAGGAGGAAAATGTACTCAATTGAAAGATTACTGAACAACAATAATGAAATGACTGAGAATCCAATGGAGATTGAGCAGATCATCACAGCCTATTATGATCAACTCTTTTCATCACAAGGATCCACAGATGGCCATGAACGTCTGCCCAATATTCCCACCTCTATCTCGGAGGAGTTGAACAAAATGTTGATTACTCCAGTGGATGAGGAGGCTATAAAGCAGGCTGTTTTCAATATTCATCCAGAAAAAGCTCCGGGAGAAGATGGCATGACAGGGCTTTTCTACCAACATTTCTGGCCAATCATCAGTGGTGACATATGTATGGCTGTACAGAGTTTTTTTGAGTCTACACAAATGCTGAAGTACTGGAAACATACTTTAAATATTCTTATTCCCAAGTGTGTAAATCCAGTGTCTATCACTCAGTTCAGGCCAATAAGCTTATGTACAGTCATCTATAAAGTAATTTCCAAAATTTTATCTTTGAGATTAAAACAATGCTTGCATCTCTGAATTTCAGAAAATCAAAATGCATTTATTCCTGGTAGACAGTTGCCAGATAATGTGGTGATTAGACAGGAAGTGTTTCATTTCTTAAATAGACATAGGAGTGGGAATAATTATTTTATGGCTTTAAAATTGGATATGGTCAAAGCATATGATTGTGTTGAATGGAAGGCAATCCAACTAACAATGATCAGGATGGGTTTTCATAAGGTATTTGTTCAGTGGATTATGGCATATATAACCAATCCTTCTTTCTCTTTTAATATAAATGGCAAGAGTTGTGGCTATATATCTGCTTCAAGAGATCAGACAAGGGGATCCTTTATCCCCTTATCTGTCCTTAGTATTTCTGAATTACTTTCTGCCAAACTCTCAGAGGAAGCTGCAGGTGGAAGATTCAAAGGAATAAGGCTATCCAGAGAGGGCCATTATTGACACATCTAATGTTTGCTGATGACACACTCATTTTTTGCAAGGCAGGGGTGAATCAAGTCAGGAGACTGCTCTATATCTTGAAAGTGTTCAGGAATTTTACAGGCCAACAAATCAATATGAGCAAGTCCACTATTTTCTTCAGTAAGAATACACTAGTGCCAGTTCAACAGAACATATGTTTCTTATTGCCAGGAATCCAGTGTCATACTTCAACTAGGTATCTGGGCCTGCAATTAGGGATTGGGAAAGCAAAGCGGGAAGCTTTTGAGTTCATCTTGAATGTGGTGAAAAAAAGAATATTCAGTTAGAAGAACAAATGGTTATCTACTGCAGGGAAAGAGGTACTCATAAAAGCAGTTTTGAATGCACTCCCTATTTATGCTATGACCACATTTGTTCTGCCACAAGGATTATGTAGACATTGCTCAAGCATGTGGCCGAGTTTGGTGGGGTAGAGGAACTGAGAATCACAAAGGTATGCACTGGATAGACTGGGATAAAGTAACATTAACCAAGAAGATGGAGGCTTGGGCTTTCAGGACATTCAGTTATTTAACTATGCACTCATTGCCAAGCAATTGTGGAAATTGGTGACAACCTGATAGGCTGGTTAGCAAAGTCCTGAAGTCCAGTTACTTTCCAAATACAACTCTTTTTGAAGCTCAGAAAAAGCAAAATTCATCTTGGTTATGGAATAGTTGGTTGATGGTTTTGGAGAAATGCTCTAAGTGGATGCAACTGGAGGTAAAGAATAGGTGCAGTATCCAAATTTGGGACAAGCATTGTGTTCCTTCTAAGATAGGTCAGGCTGGATAGGAGCATTAAAAGGGTCAGAGATCTAATGACTATGATGGAAGGTTTTGGGATGCTGCTAAAGTCAGGAGATCATTCCCTGGGGAATGGAGTACAACCATTTTAGCTATTGATACTATATATTGACCCAACTAAGCAGGATAAGTGGATATGGAATTTGAACAAAAAGGGACTTTTTTCAGTGCACTCCACTTATGCACACCTCATTAAAGAGAAGTTCCTTAAGTTGTGTCAAGCACAAGGAAGCAAGGACCCAGCCATAGACATCAAAGTTAGAAAAAGGAGTTGGAATCTCAAGGTGCTGGGTAGGGTCAAACATTTCATTTGGAGATGCTATAATTGGGCTCTACCAGTAGGAGTGCAGCTACAATCTAGGGGGATGAAGGTGGACTCAATATGTGCTCAGTGTGGGGAGGATAATGAATCCATTGAACATGCTCTTTTCCATTGCAAGTTTGCCCAAGAGGTCTGGAAGATAGCCCCTGTCAACTGAAATGGCCCCAAGCCAAAGAGAACTTCAAATCATGGTGGTGGCAAATCTGTCAGTTGGATTATAGTGACACTTCCGAAGCCCATATTCAATTGTCCACGAATATATTTTGGTGGTTATGGAAGTATCGTAACTTATGGGTGTTTGAACAAACTCGCAGACCGGCTCCGTTGATCATAAAGGTGGCAGTCCAACAGTGGCAAGGTTTTCTAGCTAGCAGGAGGAATGGGGGGAAATAAAATGATGCAGTTGGGTGAATTTTTCTAGTGCTTGTTATTTGTATTTTTTTTATTTTTTTTTTTCTGTTTTTCTTTTTATTCTTGTCCTTGTCAGTTGTTAGTTATGGTTTCTATTGGTCTGGGATAGCTTAAGGAGGTTTATGTTACAGGCTTAGGCACAGTCGTGAGTGACTGCTATGCTTGTAGGATGGTTATAGGCTGTGAGTGTAGGGGTGAATTTGTTGTTATCTTGCCCACACTAAGTGGTGCTCCCATGTTGCCGGTGATGTAAAGTTTTGGACTATTCTTCGTTTTATGTTAATGAATAATCTATCGGTTTGNAAAAAAAAAAAAAAAAAGAATTATTGTGTGTCTCAAAGCCGGGTACATTTCAAAGTCAATTTCAGGCTGAAACTACTCAATATTCTAAAAGTTTGTCTAGTTTGGTTCAGGATCTAATGGTTACATTGGTTAGACAATCCGTACATTCTTAATATATGTGTATACTTCCACGTTCAAATGTGACTCCAAAAAACTACATCAGTATTACATTTCATAATACATATATATGTAATTTTTTGTTACAAAGATAAACAATTACATAATCCTATACAAGAATTGATGTTCGTCATCAACATACATGATACATTCTCAGACACGCTAATTACCTCCATGTCTAACTGAAATCGAACTCATCAATTGCAAACAAGCAAAAGCCTTAATTTATTCACCAAATTGGATACAATTTTATTAATTAATACACACAAAAAGCCGTTAGAAGAAAAACCAACCCACAGTACTCACACAAGAAATAAGCAAAACCCTTTTATTCACCAAAATTGGATACAATTTTATTAATACACACAAAAAGCTGTTAGATGAAAAACTAACCCACAAACAGTACTCACACACAAAACCCTTATTTTAGACATACAGCCCAACAAACACCGAAAAACCAAAACACCACAAACAACAAAATCGACAAATTAAACATCCATTCCATTCATTCATCCTCTCCCGCTACTTGGTGCTTTTGGTAGGCGACAAAGGCTTAAACCCGAGCAACTTCTTAATACCCAGCCACGGCCTCACAACCACAATCGCCTCGAAAGTCTGGGGCAATGTTCCTCCGTGTGCCGGTGCAGCCGAGATCTTGAGATAGTATTTGATCCCAGAAACCACCTGAGTCTCGGCCTCGACCACCCGGGAAAACACGAGCAGCTTGGACGCGCTGCCGTTGCCTTTCGCCTGCTGTTGATGGTTGTACTCTCGGACGCAGTACTTGCCCAGGTCTTGTACCTCCTTGTTCGCCTCCACGTTTTCGACCGGTCTTCGGCCCCCGACTTTTCTGCCAAAGGCCGAGGCCAGTGGAGAGAGGATCAGAAGAGAAAGGAAGAGGAAGAGGAAGAGGATTGAAGATTTGCGGCGGTCGGCCATTGGTGAAGGTTGGTAATACTGAGAGGCGGATTTTGCTAGGCTNTTTTCTTGAAGATTGTGTAAGTTTTTGAATTGGTAAGGAAGTGATAAGTATGCATGGTTTTTATAAGTAATATAAAGGGGTGTTGAATTATTGGGGTGGGGGGATAGGACGCGTGGATCGAGGAGGAAGGGATGGCACTGTGGCAGCAGCTGCGGGTTGCCGCGTTTTATGTAAAACGGTGTCTATCTATCGTGCCCATTCTCATTTTGTAGTGTAGTGAGCCACTTGGAGATTGACCCATGATTTATTGAGTAATTCAAGATCAATTGTTTTTCGATTGGAGTCGAGATGAGTAGTTTATATTCGAATTATGTTAGTTAAATAAATCAGTTGGATTGGTTCGGCTACTTGATAAACGATTCAAAAGACTCGATTTGAGCTCGACTTTTGCTTAAGTTCGTAAAACCTCAATTTGGTTCGTCTCCTTTTTAGGATTCAACGTTCCGAGGATAAGAGACACCAAGAACATCATGCTCGAGCCGTAGGACAATACCGGACGATGGAGCTGAAAGAAGTTGAAGATCTAAAGGGCTCGAGGCTGCCTGAGATGCCAAAAAGTCAGCAGCGAAATTCGCTCGCAAAAGATATGAGAAATCTTGACCCGCCAGTCTCGACTGAGTAGTTCTCGTATCCCGAGAACCAAACCAGAGTGAACACCCCTTAAATTTTCTGTATTATTCGCAAAACCCACGATGTTGACATTGTCCACTTCTGCCTCAATCTGGCGATATCCCATATCTCAAGTCATACTTGTTGTGTTCGCTAGTACCGTACGGGCTTTAAGCAGCGGAATTTAAAATTTTTCAAAATAAGTATTTATCGTATAAATACAACACCCGTACATACTAATTGCGAATTAACTGATCGTCATCTTTAAAACATGCATCATATACAAATTTTGATTTGTTATATAAAATAAATACAAATACAAAGTACTTACCGAATGTCTTGAACTCCTTCAACGACAATGTGGATTGTGGGAATCGGTTCCCGGTTTGATAACTTCAACGGATTGATGTTACTCACTTTAGGAATCCAAGTGTCTTCCCTCTAAACGTATCCACCCTATGAAGCCCGGTTCCGACGACCTTCCTTCGCTAGTAGGAATGTCTCGGTTTTCTTGTATAGGAATATGTATGAATTTTATTTTGGGAATTTTCAAGAACTCTTTCTTGATGTTTATGAAGAACTATTCTTCTTTCTAACACTTAGAAATTTTAGGAATGAATTCACCTTAAATGCAAAACCATTTTGCATCTATTTATACTAAACATTTTAGCATAAAATAATCATCATTTAGTAATATTTAAATAAAATCAGATTTTATTTAAATAATATTTACTAACTATTGACTTTGAAAATAATAAATAATGTTAAGTGGTTCAAACCACCTTTAACCACCATTTTATTATAATCATATTTATTATATTTTAATCCTTAAATCATATTTAAAGATAATAGAATAATAAATCTTGAGAATCTTTTCAAGACTTTATTATTATATTCATTTTCCCAATTTTCATCCATATTATAATAATCATATTATTATTATTTTGGTTTGGAAATTTAAAATCCAATTTTAAATTCCAACATATTAATTTAGTAATTACCTTAATTACTAAAGTAATATCCAAAATGTAATTAATCAATCTTATTGATTAATATATTCCTTTTAATTGATATCTAATCAAATTAGATTATGTCAATTAATTCTAACTCTTTAGAAATACAATTTTTCACCTTTGTTCATAATAGGTGTGACCTTTTAGGTTCACCTTAATACTAGTAGTGGGTTTACAACTCTTTGTAATTTGAGTTAATCACATTAACTCTTATTCATGAATTAACCCTTTGATTCAAGAACCCACATATCATGGGAACACCTAGCAAGTAGCATGAATCTAGTATTAAGTGAATAGCGAGTAAACCTATTCCAATTACAACTCCATACATGTAAAATCCTTTCTACATCTAATTTCCCGATTAAGTCTTGGGTATGATTTTGTCGAAACCCAAATTGACTTAATAACTATGATTCTATTTCAAGTTTATTAACCCTGTTATGAATCACTATTCATCTCTGCCTTGGCCAAGGACTTTGGATTAATAACTATGAAACACATAGGAAATTCACTTATCTTCATAAGTGTCGAATCCTTTATTGGCCACTAACAAACTTCCATACATATTAACATAATATATACCTCAATTTTATGACCGTATATATTACTCGGTGTCAAATCAAACCCATCAAAACTTTCATGATAATGGCCCACCAGAGTGTCCCACGACTCATGGTCAACACAAAGAGGAATGCATCTCACGAGTATCAATATACTTAGTAGAGTTCACAGCTTTCGACACAGAACCACCCCACGACTCATGGTCAGTGATAAAGTATCGTAGCATCTCATGTCGTCTACTTTTGATGGAAGGCCTGGATTAATAAGTTCCAACTTATTTTTTATCCATTATTGATTTGATATGGAATTAATCAAATTAATCCGTTTGGGTTCCTTGATCTCATCTATTACCATCTTTACGTTTATTTACCGGTTTCAATCATCTAATGAAACGAAAGCGTAAATAAACCTAACATACATCTAATGCATGGTGGGATGATCATGTCCTTGCCTATTCGATCCATTCGAGCCAAAATGGATCTATGCCTATGTACGTGATAAAACAAATAATAGAACTACTTCTATTACATTTATTCTATCTACCCGTACAAGCACAGGCCTTCGAGATTATAACTTGTAAAATTACCCACACAAGCGTGGGCCTTTTGCATCGAACGGTCTCCACCTAGATCTAATCTCTAACGATACAAAATTTAAAAATTTTACAAATTTCATCTCAAGAGACTCGCAGGTCTCGATAAATTACATTTCTTCAATCATATTGAAAACATAATTAAACATCCATTCATTCATTCAATCATATTGAAAATGAAAACATCCATTCAAACATAATGAATATGAGGCTCATGATCATCCCTAAAACATTCATCTAATGAAATGAACATAAAATATCAATTTATGAGTCACACGACTCGTGTGAGGGTCACACGACCCGTGTGATCTTATCACACGACTCGTGTGAAAAATACGAATTGAAAATCAAAATTTTTCCCAGACTCACACGACTCGTGTGGCTCGTCACACGACTCGTGTGAGCTCACACGACTCGTGTGACAAGGTCACACGACTCGTGTGAAAATCACGAAGCTAAAATCAAAATTTTTCTTCATGCCACACGACTCGTGTGACAAGGTCACACGACTCGTGTGGCTTAAAAACGATTTTTAATTTTATAATTAATATTTTTATCATATAAAAAATTAATTATATTGCTTATCTCATAAGTCTTAACAAATCAAAATCTGTTTTAAAGACGATAACCGTGGCTCTGATACCACTGTTGGGTTCGATAGTACCGTACGGGCTGTACGCAGCGGAATTTAAAATTTTTAAAGTAAGTATTTATCGTATAAATACAACACCCGTACATACTAATTGCGAATTAACTGATCGTCATCTTTAAAACATGCATCATATACAAATTTTGATTTGTTACTATAAAGTAAATACTAGTAAAAATATTTACCGAATGTCTTGAACTCCTTCACTATTGATGATGGATGAGGGAATCGGTTCCCGGTTGTAACTTCAACGACTTGAGGTTACTCGCTAGAGGAATCCAAGTGTCTTCCCTCTAAACGTATCCACCCTATGAAGCCCGGTTCCGACGACTTTCCTTCGCTAGTAGAAAAGACTCGGTTTTCTTGTATAGGAATATTTATGAATTTTATTTGGGAATTTTAAGAACTCTTTCTTGAAGTTTTATGAAGAACACTTTCTTCTCTTTCTAACACTTAGAAATTTAGGATCAAAAACTTCACTTAAATGCAAAACCATTTTGCATATATTTATACTAAACATTTTAGCATAAAATAATCAACATTTAGTAATATTAAATAAAATCAAATTTTATTTAAATAGTATTTACTAACTTTTGACTTTGAAAATAATAAGATATGTTAAGTAGTTCAAACAACCATCAACAACCATTTTATTATAATCATATTTATTATTTTAATCCTTAAATCATATTTAAAGATATAAATAATAATTGGATAATAAATCTTGAGAATCTTTCTCAAGACTTTATTATTATATCATTTTCCCAATATTATAATAATCATATTATTATTATTTTGGATTTTTGAAATTTAAAATCCTATTTTAAAATTCAACTTTATTAATTTAGTAATTACCTTAATTACTAAAGTAATATCCAAAATGTAATTAATCAATCTTATTGATTAATATATTCCTTTAATTGATATCTAATCAAATTAGATATTTATCAATTAATTCTAACCATTAGAAATACAATCTTTACCTTTGTTCATAATTAGTGTGACCTTTTAGGTTCACCTTAATACTAGTAGTGGGTTTACAACACTTTGTAATTTGAGTTAAATCTTATTAACTCTTATTCATGAATTAACCCTTTAATTTATGAACCCACATATCATGGTAACACCTAGCAAGTAGCATGAATCTAGTATTAAGTGAATAGCGAGTAAACCTATTCCGATTACAACTCCATACATGTAAAATCCTTTCGACATCTAATTTCCCGATTAAGTCTTGGGTATGATTTTGTCGAAACCCAAATTGACTTAATAACTATGATTCTATTTCATGTTTATTAACCCGGTTATGAATCACTATTCATCTCTGCCTTGGCCAAGGACTTTGGATTAATAACTATGAAACACATAGGAAATTCACTTATCTTCATAAGTGTCGAATCCTTTATTGGCCACTAACAAACTTCCATACATATTAACATAATACCCAACTTATCCCTTTAAACGATAGTGCTAGCTACCAAAAGGATAAATCAAAGTAGAATGTAATATGCACAAAGTTACCATTGTGCCTCAAGTCTTAGGATTAGTCATGTACTATTGTAACATGAAAATTCTTATTCGACTGAATAAATTCTTCATTAAGAATTTTCATACGGTCATGTTCAGTGAACTTGTTCTCTAACAAGCACCCACATAAATGTACTTACGTCTTACGCTAATGTTGATGGAATGCAACATTCTTGTCCAACAAGCATACAAACTATGTGCAAGTCTTTTATGGATTATTCGATATCCCATCTCGAAACATCCATCGACTTGGAACTGTATTTAAGATCACGGCTTTCAAGGTATGTTCCATGATCACCATCTCTATGCGCAACCATACCTTATAACCATAAGTGATCTAGGGATTTTATCTTAAGTGCAATTATAAGATAAATGCTTTCTCTTAAGATAAAGAAATGCCTTATTCATAATATAATTCCAATAGACTGTATTTACAAGTAGAATACGTCCAATTAGATTGGAACGCCGGGTACCCTACTCTAACAATCTCCCACTTGCCCTAGTTCCAATCACTCATGTATCTAAGACCCATCTTCTCAAGATGTCCTTCGAACACTTTCTGTGATAAGGGTTTAGTTAAGGGGTCTGCTATATTTTCTGCTGAGTCGACTCGCTCCATCACGACATCGCCTCTACCAATGATTTCTCTAATCAAATGGTATCGCCTCATAATGTGTTTGGATTTTTGATGAGATCTTGGCTCCTTTGCTTGCGCAATAGCCCCATTGTTATCACAATAAATCATTATTGGATCAACAACGGATGGTACTACACCCAACCCTTGGATAAAGTTCCTTATCCAAACAGCTTCTTTTGCAGCATCAGATGCAGCAATATATTCAGCCTCTGTCGTAGAGTCAGCAATTGTTTCTTGTTTGGAACTTTTCCAACTAACTGCTGCTCCATTCAGAGTAAATAAGTATCCAGACATGGATTTATAGTCGTCTTTATCGGACTGAAAACCAGAATCAGTAAAGCCTTCTAGTTTCAGTTCTCCATTGCCGTATACCATAAAGATATCCTTAGTCCTTCGTAAGTACTTAAGAATCATCTTAACGGCTTTCCAGTGTTCTTCACCTGGATTAGACTGATATCTGCTCGTTACACTAAGTGCATGAGCCACATCAGGTCTTGTACATAACATTGCATACATAATGCTACCAATAGCTGATGCATAAGGTATATGACTCATCCGTTCTCTTTCTTCAGGTGTCTTTGGAGACATCGTCTTAGAAAGAGAAATCCCATGACTCATTGGAATATATCCTCGTTTGGATTCTTCCATGCTAAACCGTTGTAGCACCTTATTTATGTACGTCGACTGGGATAGTCCGATCATCCGTTTAAATCTATCCCTATAGATTTTTATCCCTAGGATAAAGGATGCTTCTCCCAAGTCTTTCATGGAAAACTGTTTTGACAACCATGTCCTAGTTGACTGCAACATCCCTACATCATTCCCAATGAGTAGGATGTCATCAACATATAGAACAACAAATGTAACTGCACTCCCACTAACCTTCTTATAAACACATGGTTCATCCGGATTCTTATGAAAATCAAACGTTTTGATCGTTTCATCAAACCGAATATTCCAACTCCTCGAAGCTTGTTTAAGTCCATAAATAGACCTTTGAAGTTTACAAACCATTTGTTCACTCCCATTGGATATGAAACCTTGCGGTTGTTTCATATAAATGTCTTCCTTAATATTTCCATTAAGAAAAGCAGTTTTCACATCCATTTGCCATATCTCGTAGTCATAATACGCAGCTATGGCTAGCAATATCCGAATAGATTTAAGCATTGCTACTGGTGAAAAAGTTTCCTCATAATCAACACCTTGTTTTTGAGTATAACCTTTAGCAACCAGTCTTGCTTTAAAAGTATTTACTTCTCCATCTACACCACGTTTTCGCTTGTAAACCCATTTACAACCTATGGGTACAATACCCTGTGGTGGATCAACCAAAGTCCATACTTTGTTTGAATACATGGAATCTATTTCGGATTGCATAGCTTCTTGCCATTTATCTGAGTCAATGTCCAACATTGCCTCATCATAGCTTATTGGATCATTATCCAAAAGGAATCCCTCTTCATTGTCTTTTGACAATAGGTATAGCCTTTCAGGCGCCCTAGAAACCCTTTCGGATCTCCGAAGAGGTTGTGTTTTAGATGGTCCAGTCTCTACTGGTATGTTTTCCGTGGTACTTAGTGGAATTTGTGGTTGTTCTTCATTAAGTTCTATGACTCCGCTATTCTTTGAGATAAAATCTTTCTCTAAGAATACAGCATTCCTCGAAACAAACACCTTTTGTTCAGAGGGATCATAGAAATAGTATCCAATAGACTCTCTAGGATACCCCACAAATTTACATAAGATGGATCTCATATCCAACTTACCTCCCACTAACTGCTTTACATAAGCAGTACAACCCCATACTCGTAAATATTTGTATGAGGGTGATTTACCACACCATATCTCATAAGGTGTGCTGGGTACAGCTTTACTTGGCACTCTATTCAAAATATATGCTGCTGTTTCTAAGGCATAGCCCCAGAATGAAAGAGGTAGATCAGTGGTACTCATCATCGATCGAACCATGTCCAACAATGTTCGATTCCTCCTTTCTGAAACCCCATTGAGTTGTGGAGTTCCAGGAGGCGTCCACTGTGAGACAATCCCATTATCTTTTAAATAATCAAGAAACTCATTAGTCAAATATTCACCTCCTCGATCTGATCGAAGAACTTTAATATTTCTACCAATTTGTTTCTCCACTTCATTTCTGAATTCTTTGAACTTTTCAAATACTTCAGATTTGTACCTCAATAGGTAAACATAACCATACCGTGAATAATCATCAGTGAAGGTTATGAAATAGTGATAGTTCCCCATTGCACTAACGTTTAGTGGTCCACAAACATCTGTATGGATCAAATCCAACAAACCTTTAGCTCGCTCCACTTGTCCAACAAATGGTGATTTAGTCATTTTACCTTTAAGACATGACTCACATGTAGGCAACCTATCCTCTCCCCTAAGGTCGAGTTTAGGTCCCAATTTGTGAATCCGTTTTTCGGATATATGACCTAATCTAGCATGCCAAATTGTGAATGAACTATGATTATCTAATTTCCTTTTATTTTGTTGAATGGTTAGGATGGGACTTTGTGGTGTAATGGTATACAACCCATTTGTCAAATTTCCAGAATAAATAAAAGTTGTGTCTTTGAAAATAGAACATTTTCCATTTTCAATGACAAACTTAAAACCTTCCTTATCCAATATTGGAATAGAAATAATGTTTTTTATTAAATCCGGAACATACAAACAGTTTGATAGACAAATCTTTACATCATTATTCAATGCTAGATAAACAGTCCCAATAGCTTTAGCAGCAACTCTTGCCCCATTGCCCATCCTTAGGATTGTTTCTTCACCATCTAGCATATTACTTCTTGCCATCATCTGCAAATCATTGCAAATATGTGAGCCACAGCCGGTATCCAATACCCAAGAAGAATCGTTAACAGACAAGTTAACTTCAACAAAATAAATACCTGAACTTTTCAGACTAGCAAGATACTCCTTGCAGTTCCTCTTCCAGTGCCCAGTTTTGCCACAATGAAAACATTCATGATCGGCCTGAGAATTAACCTTCTGTTTGTTCTTCCCTTTATCATTATATGCCTTCTTGTTGGGCTTATTGGGAACCTTTCCCTTCCTCTTCCTTTTCTTAGACTTAGTAGCCTTTGATCCGGAAGTGGATCCAACAAGAAGTACCGGCTTGTCCTTTTTAATGGTGGACTCAGCCGTCTTCAACATGTTTAATAATCCTGGAAGATCAGTTTCCATATTATGCATGTTGTAGTTAACGACAAAGTTATCGAATGACGCTGGCAGAGATTGCAACAATAAATCCACATAGAGTTCATTATCCATAATGACTCCAAGTGATTCGAGTCTTTCCACAAGAGCTATCATCTTCAGTCCATGATCATGAACTGAAGAGCCCTCGGTCATACGACACCTGAAAAGCTCTTTAGATATCTGATATCTAATTTGTCGCGTCCGATCACCATACAACTCTTGCAGGTGAGTTAGGATTTCAGAAGCATTATTCAGTAATTCGTTCTGTCTCTGTAGCTCATTAGACATTGATGCTAGCATGTAGCACCGAGCTTGGAGATTGTCATCAACATGACGCAAGTAGGCTCCATACTCTTCAGCAGTCTGATCCTCCGGTGGAGGAGGAGGAGCTGTTTCCAAAACATACTCTCGCTTCTCAGACTGAAGAACAATCTTTAGGTTCCTCAACCAATCATTGAAGTTGGGACCAGTTAATTTATTATGATCAAGGATACTCGCGATTGGATTCTTAGCCATTTTAGTAGTTTGATCTACAAAAATAACAAACGAAGCAGAAAATAATTAGACTATGGAATTTATATTCATTTAATATTAGGTCTTTAACATTAAATGTCTCCCACTAATTTAATTAGAACCTCATTATAATTATGAAAATCATTATTTTCATAGTGGGCTTGAAGTCCAATAAAAATATTTCATGTCCCAATTTTATGATGCCACCATGAAACAATTTTATCGGTAGTCAACTTTTTGACAATTGTATCTCTATACAACCTTCAAGATGTTTTGCCTCACCTTTCCTTATATACCTCAATTTTATGACTCCATATATATTACTCGGTGTCAAATCAAACCCATCAAAACTTTCATGATAACGGCCCACCAGAGTGTCCCACGACTCATGGCCAACACAAAGAGGAATCCGTCTCACGAATATCAATATATTTAATAGAGTTCACAGCTTTCGACATAGAATCATCCCACGACTCGTGGCCAATGATAAAACATCGTAGCATCTCATGTCATCTACTTTTGATGGAAGGCCTGGATTAATAAGTTCCAACTTATTTTTATCCATTATTGATTTGATATGGAATTAATCAAATTAATCCGTTTGGGTTCCTTGATCTCATCGATTACCATCTTTACGTTTATTTACCAGTTTCAGTCATCTAATGAAACGAAAGCGTAAATAAACCTAACATACATCTAATGCATGGTGGGATGATCATGTCCTTTCCTATTCGATCCATTCGAGCCAAAATGGATCTATGCATATGTACGTGATAAAACAAATAGTAGAACTACTTCTATTACATTTATTCTATCTACCCGTACAAGCACAGGCCTTCGAGATTACAACTTGTAAAATTACCCACACATGCGTGGGCCTTTGTCATCGAACGGTCTCCACCTTGATCTAATCTCTAACGATACAAAATTTAAAATTTTACAAATTTCATCTCAAGAGACTCGCAGGTCTCGATAAATTACATTTCTTCAATCATATTGAAAACATAATTAAACATCCATTCATTCATTCAATCATATTGAAAATGAAAACATCCATTCAAACATAATGAATATGAGGCTCATGATCATCCCTAAAACATTCATCTAATGAAATGAACATAAAATATCAATTTATGAGTCACACGACTCGTGTGAGGGTCACACGACCCGTGTGATCTTATCACACGACTCGTGTGAAAAATACGAATTGAAAATCAAAATTTTTCCCAGACTCACACGACTCGTGTGGCTCGTCACACGACTCGTGTGAGCTCACACGACTCGTGTGACAAGGTCACACGACTCGTGTGAAAATCACGAAGCTAAAATCAAAATTTTTCTTCATGCCACACGACTCGTGTGACAAGGTCACACGACTCGTGTGGCTTAAAAACGATTTTTAATTTTATAATTAATATTTTTATCATATAAAAAATTAATTATATTGCTTATCTCATAAGTCTTAACAAATCAAAATCTGTTTTAAAGACGATAACCGTGGCTCTGATACCACTGTTGGGTTCGATAGTACCGTACGGGCTGTACGCAGCGGAATTTAAAATTTTTAAAGTAAGTATTTATCGTATAAATACAACACCCGTACATACTAATTGCGAATTAACTGATCGTCATCTTTAAAACATGCATCATATACAAATTTTGATTTGTTACTATAAAGTAAATACTAGTAAAAATATTTACCGAATGTCTTGAACTCCTTCACTATTGATGATGGATGAGGGAATCGGTTCCCGGTTGTAACTTCAACGACTTGAGGTTACTCGCTAGAGGAATCCAAGTGTCTTCCCTCTAAACGTATCCACCCTATGAAGCCCGGTTCCGACGACTTTCCTTCGCTAGTAGAAAAGACTCGGTTTTCTTGTATAGGAATATTTATGAATTTTATTTGGGAATTTTAAGAACTCTTTCTTGAAGTTTTATGAAGAACACTTTCTTCTCTTTCTAACACTTAGAAATTTAGGATCAAAAACTTCACTTAAATGCAAAACCATTTTGCATATATTTATACTAAACATTTTAGCATAAAATAATCAACATTTAGTAATATTAAATAAAATCAAATTTTATTTAAATAGTATTTACTAACTTTTGACTTTGAAAATAATAAGATATGTTAAGTAGTTCAAACAACCATCAACAACCATTTTATTATAATCATATTTATTATTTTAATCCTTAAATCATATTTAAAGATATAAATAATAATTGGATAATAAATCTTGAGAATCTTTCTCAAGACTTTATTATTATATCATTTTCCCAATATTATAATAATCATATTATTATTATTTTGGATTTTTGAAATTTAAAATCCTATTTTAAAATTCAACTTTATTAATTTAGTAATTACCTTAATTACTAAAGTAATATCCAAAATGTAATTAATCAATCTTATTGATTAATATATTCCTTTAATTGATATCTAATCAAATTAGATATTTATCAATTAATTCTAACCATTAGAAATACAATCTTTACCTTTGTTCATAATTAGTGTGACCTTTTAGGTTCACCTTAATACTAGTAGTGGGTTTACAACACTTTGTAATTTGAGTTAAATCTTATTAACTCTTATTCATGAATTAACCCTTTAATTTATGAACCCACATATCATGGTAACACCTAGCAAGTAGCATGAATCTAGTATTAAGTGAATAGCGAGTAAACCTATTCCGATTACAACTCCATACATGTAAAATCCTTTCGACATCTAATTTCCCGATTAAGTCTTGGGTATGATTTTGTCGAAACCCAAATTGACTTAATAACTATGATTCTATTTCATGTTTATTAACCCGGTTATGAATCACTATTCATCTCTGCCTTGGCCAAGGACTTTGGATTAATAACTATGAAACACATAGGAAATTCACTTATCTTCATAAGTGTCGAATCCTTTATTGGCCACTAACAAACTTCCATACATATTAACATAATACCCAACTTATCCCTTTAAACGATAGTGCTAGCTACCAAAAGGATAAATCAAAGTAGAATGTAATATGCACAAAGTTACCATTGTGCCTCAAGTCTTAGGATTAGTCATGTACTATTGTAACATGAAAATTCTTATTCGACTGAATAAATTCTTCATTAAGAATTTTCATACGGTCATGTTCAGTGAACTTGTTCTCTAACAAGCACCCACATAAATGTACTTACGTCTTACGCTAATGTTGATGGAATGCAACATTCTTGTCCAACAAGCATACAAACTATGTGCAAGTCTTTTATGGATTATTCGATATCCCATCTCGAAACATCCATCGACTTGGAACTGTATTTAAGATCACGGCTTTCAAGGTATGTTCCATGATCACCATCTCTATGCGCAACCATACCTTATAACCATAAGTGATCTAGGGATTTTATCTTAAGTGCAATTATAAGATAAATGCTTTCTCTTAAGATAAAGAAATGCCTTATTCATAATATAATTCCAATAGACTGTATTTACAAGTAGAATACGTCCAATTAGATTGGAACGCCGGGTACCCTACTCTAACAATACTAAGACCGTGAAATAACCCCCATAATTCCGCTCCCGTGAGAGAGCACATCCCGATATTTCTCATGAAACCTCCTAACCATTTCTCATGAGTGTCACGAATCAACCCTCCAGTTGAAGCCGTACCCAAGGATTTGTTATAGGCCCCGTCCGAATTCAGGAATTCTCTTTTGATAAATTTAAATAACTAAATGAGTTGTTAGCGATTATAAACCAGGTTCGAGTACTTTATTTAAAATTCTAACAAATAAATAAATTAAGTTCTTTGTTAACAAATTCAAATCATTTATAAATGAGCTCTGAGCTCAAGCACAATTTATTTACACAAATAAATGAGTCAAGCTTAATTTTTCACAAGACAAAATTAATTTGTGTTCATGAACAACTCATTCTAATAACAAATCTAGTTCTACGATAGAAAAGAAATAGAGTCCAATAAATTTTTAAAGAATATGGTTTCCTTTTTGGAGTGCGAATAACTATTAGACTATAGAATAACTAATAAATATTGATTTAGTCATCATGAATATAGAATATTGTACATAAATGTACAATAATAATTGACATAAATTTACAATAAGGGAAAAAAAACTTTGTCACATCTGAACTATCACGGTTCTGGCGCATCACGATATAAATATTTTTTTACAAATCACCATATGAACTATACAAGTTTGTCAAATTGTCCCATAAACTGGATATAAACGTGGATTTGACTACAAAAAGCTGATTTTTAAGGCATTTCAGTAATTTTATATATTTCATATATGTTATTTTAAAAAAAAAAGCTGATTTTTTCCTGACAGTAGCATGATTAGAGCCTATACGCACAATAACGCATGTATATATATACAGGCTGTTGAAATCTCCGGCCAGCACCTTCACATCGACCAGATCAGCCATGAAGTCCACTGAAATCTCCGGTCAGCACCTTCACGCAGACCAATTCAACCATCCACGTTCAGTGACCCATGTTTGGAGATCCGCAGTCTGAACAACCACCGTCGGCAAGCCTGCAACTTTCTGTCCGCGTGTACTGCATTGATGGAGATGGATGAATGCATATTTTCGAATCATGTACATGTGCAATCAATTTAAACTTCCATAAATATATGTATGTGCAGGTATGAAAAAATTAGTTATCTGTGTGAAGTCTTAGTGATCTATATTCGTCCAGTTTGCGGTATAGATGAATCTATTGATGTCAGTCTGTTTTAGTTAAGACTCTTGCTTATTCGTACCTACTGAGTCGACGTGTTACGAATTAGTATTTCTTTGATCATGTGAAGAATCGTCCTTGATTTTCAGACAATTTCAATAGCCTTTAGTACTCTGGAATGCAAGAAATGGATGAGCATTTTCAAGTTCACTATGTATAAGACTTGAAAATGTAGGGCTACATTGAGTTGAATAATACCTCTGATTTCTCATGCCCGGTTAAATTTTAACATGTTAAATTTTCTTGCATCTTATCATTATGTTCTATTGAAAATTTGGAAAATATGATGTTTTTGAACCTTTCTTTACGTTTTCCGTGCAGTATTCTGATTTGATAGAAATCAGAGCCAATTGAGCAAAGAATGAAAAACGTTGAAGAGTACATTAAGGTACATGCCATTTGGCTGATGCTTCCTGTATTTCTTTCTCTTTTTGTAGTAGTTCCAACTCAACTCACATGGTAGTCGTTCTCTTAATTGAGCTTCTGGTTTATATGAATGTTCCTTACTGTTTAACTGTAGAGCATTACCGTTTTGTGAAGGTGAGAAAGGGTCAAGCATTGCCATTTTGTTTTTAATTGATTCTTAATAAATTATGTTGGATGACTAATTTAGTCTTTTTTATTTTGGACTGCTGAATTTTCTATCTTGTATGGTCAATAGTCATGAAGATAACATTTAATCATTTTCTTTGTTTTTCCACTGTAGTATGTTAAGCCAGAGTTCGTTGTGCAAGCAGAACCAATGTGGATCCTTATGGTCCGTAAATTATCGATAATAATTTGGAGACTATTGTTGTAAGGTCAGTACAGTTCCTCAGAAATTACTTCAGTCATCTGATATTTTTCCTTCAATTACTATTTATAGGTGCAATCCTCTTGAGATTAGCCTCTCCAATTGTGTCTCTTTATAGTATACTACTTTGCTTTCATTCATACCTTCTTCTTTCATTTCGGCGATTATAATGTGATGCCCATATGTGATTTCAAGAGATATCCATAAGAAGTACCCATGATGTTCAAGCTTCTAACTAGAATAACCCAGCTATAAATTTAGATTACTTAAGGTAAAATTTGGTATGATTCAATTTAATTAAGGGGCTAACTGTAATATTCTCTTATAAATGTGAAGGGGGTTTCTGAAATATTTTTTTTGCTTATAAAATGGCTAAATGTAAGGTGGAAGAAATATCAGGGTACTTTTATAGTTTTGGAAGTCACTTGTTTTTACTTTTAAAGTTAAACCTCAAAGGGTACTTCTTGTAGCCTTCTAAACTTTCATAGTGAGATAGGTGTCTGTTTAATTAAATTCCCAGAAAACTATAGAAGTCTCTTAAGACATCTATTGAGGATCCATAGTCTTACAAACAAGCTACCTATTCAAAATTATTCGGTAAGATAATATTGCTAGAAGAAAGGAAAAACATGAAAGCAAAATTTATCGTAAAGTTCATGGGACTGACTGAGCAGATTATAATAAAAGCTTGGAAGTAACTGAAACTTTTGTGATATAACCCTAGGTAGTATTGATTATTAAAATATAGGAAATAAATTATATGTCATAATAAGATCCCTCTGGGTTTTGTAAGTAAATTTATCAGTTCAAATCACCTAGAGGTGAATTATGTGCACTTACAAATATAAATGTTCAACTATTATGTGATAGCTATAACTAGAGTGGTTTGTTTGGTAGTAAGGAGACATTTGTTGGGGGATTATCTATTAATAAGAAGAGGGCCGAGAGAGGTCTCTCACAGCTAAATTGAGTTCTACAGCCTTGAGGAAACTCGAAGCCGAGAAACGCAAGATGCTTCAAGTGGAAGGTGAGGTTTGACAGCTGTTGATCTGAATGGCACTGTAATAAATTCTTTTCTTATTGGAATTGCTAATGAAAAGTAGTTTTTCTGTCTGATTGTTATTCATAACAATTATATCTTGTATAAAATTGGTCATGTAAACAAGTAATGAATGTTCCACACAGTGTTTTCTTATTCATTGTCTGGTCCATTGGTTTATCACCATTGCACATTTTTGGCTTTTGTGGGTATCTTTAAGACTTGCTCCTCTTTTGTTCTCAAGTGACCTTCAAGTTCCTTAGAGTTCTAGATATTGAAGTATTTAATATCATGCTATTTCCAAACTGATTTTGTTTGTTTAGTGGGACCAAATTTCGGAAGACAGAATCGGTTTATAACGATTACCAAATATTATTGGTTTCTATTTAGTATTTATGGATATGAAAATTTATGTTATTTTTTTGACTGTAAAAGCTAAATAAAGAAAAATCATGAAAAATAGATGACTAAATTAAACATATCCAATATCTTTTAGACGTTGGCAATATTAGAACCATCTTTTCGATTTGACAGTAGTAGTCAATAAGTATTAATATTTTCGGGCTTATTACCCAAATTTGGCCAAACTCTCTCGCTCTCTCTCTTTCTCATCCCCTTCCTTTCTTTCTTTTTCTTCTTTTCCAGAGGAGAACTAGCTGTGATATGTCATGATGTAAAAGCTTTTGAAGGTGGCTATGATTTTGAATGAGTGCATAATCATATCTCAAGTTTAAGTTTGACTGAGAAAACTTGAATTTGCACTTTATTCCAGAGTACAGTGTGATAGAGAAAACTTTGAATTTGGACTATATTTTAAGTTTTGATTGCTATAGATTTTAGCCGCTTGATTTTAGTTCGTTTGTGAGGGGTTTGAGTAGGGGTGGATTTATGAACTCCTCGTTATATTTGCCTTTTGTAAATGGTAATAATAAGGTTTGTTTATATTTAGAAATTGAAATAAATAGAGGTGTTGCGTGTTTTAACTTGTTTGAGAAACTTTCTGAGAAAAAAATGAATAATTCGGATAGTGATTGGTTGTAATATTAATATCATAATATGTGATGTGATTTAACTAGATAAAAAAATGAATGCTACTTGTTATAAATATGTAAGAGAATATATAGTAAATTTATTAGTGAATTGTGTAATAATTGTAGCTTAATTTGTGTTCTATTAAAAGTAGAGTTGTTAAACGAAACGAATTGCTCGTGAGCTTGACACGTTTTGTAAATGCTCGAATTTTGTTTCGCTCATTTGATAAACGAGTCGAGCTCGAGGTTTTTGAAAGCTTGTTTAGTTAACGAGTCTGGGTTCGGTTCGCCTTTCTAATCCTCAAAAGTAAGAATTTTTATATAATTTTTTGTAGTTTGGTTGTTAATCTCGAGCTTGAATCATTAATAATGATAATTTAGCTAAATTGGAACTCGATTATTGACTTGCTTAGTTAATAAGTTGCACTTCGTTCATTAAAAGTTCGGCTCCATTACATCCCTAACTAAGAGCATCTCCAGTGTGGACTGTTGAGTCCAAAAAATTTATGCCACATACGTAATTTAAACACCTTCTTTATTTTTTCTCTCCAATGCGCACTGTCTTGACCCGTAATTTTTTGACGTGGCGTGACTACTTTCTCAACCACTGTGTGGAGGTAGAAAGTCTCAATAACAGTGTGACTCAGTACAATCGTGCCAAAATCTAAAGAAAACGTGGGAAACAAAATTGTGCGGAGAGATATGAGATTTTTCGCAGGCAATTGAGGGAGAATCGAGAACTTGAGAAAATTCAAAGGGATTTATCTACAAGAATTCAGTTTATGTGAAAATCAGAAATCATCTTCCCCTTCATCATCTCATGGCAAACCAATCGAAGGAAAATAATGACGGGCAAGAAGACTGAGGGAGAATTGATGGGTAGAGATTTTTTGGAGGGACAGGTATGATTTTGGCATTTGTAGGGTTCTTAGAACACATGAAGTTCTAACTTTTGAATGACAAATTATTTCTACATGGACGAGTAGTCAGATTATTTCTGTGAACGGGTTAGTTTCTAGTTAATTTGCAAAAAGTGGATGTGCGAGTTTTAATTAGATATAAAGATGGATTCAGGCGGATATAATAAGTATCACAGTACCCTTCCAATTGAACATGATAGCGATCAACATAATTTTATTAGGGATATTGGATCTAGTAGTTCTGGGATAGCCAGGCTTATGAGGGATAAAAAAGAGTGTTGAGAGAGTTGCAATTAAGTACATCGAGCAATGCATTCAAGTCAGCTTTGTAACTTTCTGTTTCCTGATAATTGAGTTTGTTTAACACTGTTTAATTAATTTTTAGAGCTAACTTCCTTCTAATTGGTGTGTATCCAGCATGCAGTATTATCATTGATTTAGTATATCATCTTTTACCTTATTTTTCCTCCCTCTACTAATGACTTTAAGTTTGTTTTTCTTTTTTATTAAAGTTATATGCCTTTTTGTTTTCCTATGCATGTTTCTGAATTAGATGTAGGTTGAATCTTACTTGGTAGTAATAGAAAGACATCATGATGTACTTGAAAATTTCTATCTTTGTGTCTTCATAAAACTTGTTCCTCAGACTCTTTATGTAGGTGAAAGAATGATCAAAATATCTATTGTACAGTAAAAGTTATGTCGGTAATACAGTGACATAACAAATGATTACTAATTATTTTATAAACAATTGATTACTAATTATTTTGGTTGGTTGTCGCTTTTGATATGCAGAAGATGCACTCACAGGAATCTGGAAACAATGCAAGTGCCCAACATCCATTGAATTTTACCATGCCAGCTCAAATCCTAAATGGTATTCATCCAATGAATTTTCCATTTCAACAAGTTCTTCACTTTGATCCAACAAATAGAAATTATCATCCTCATGCCGATCAGCAACATCGCATTCACCTTGATCCAATTAATGGATCCTTCTTCCAGAGTCTTTTGAATGCTCCAATGTGCAATACTCAAACTCGTGATGCAACCAAAGAACGAAAGAAGAGAGAAAAAGATAGTCAAAATCATACCAACTCTCAATCTTCGATTGCAAAAAAAGACTGGTCAAAAGAAGAAGAGATTGACAATAGAAGTAGTTATAATTAGAAAAAATTCTCTCGATGGAGAGCTGTTCTTCTCTCAATGGAGAGCATTAATTCCTTCGATGGGAGGTAGTATTTCCAAAATCAACAGCTAGGTTTTTTCCCCCTTTTCTGTTCTATTCTCCTTCTTTCTAGGTTTTTTTTTTCCCTCTTCCCCATTTTCTAGGGTTTATATTTCGATACCTCTGTTCTTGTTCTGTTTGTTTTTCCTGTTTTGATAGGTAAATTGGGTCAGCTATCTCAAGACTCTCATTACTCAATCTCTCCTACTCTCTGCCCGCGCGAAGAAGATAACTATGGAAATTCTGGAGCAGAAACTAAAAGACTGCAACCTAAGCAGAAAGGAAGAAAACATCATTTCGCTACATGAAGGAGATATAACATCGAGTGCAAATGAATGCGAACGCAGTCTATTTGGGAAAGTCATCGGAGACAGGAAAGCGCAGCTCTATGGCATCAGGAAAACCATGACTCAAATCTGGCAAATCAGGCACCAAGTAGAAGTAAAAGAGCTGCAACATAATTTCTTTCAATTCATCTTTGAAGATCTTGAGGATAAGAGGAAAGTAGCCAGAGGTAAGAACTGGTCATTTGAAAACCAGTACCTTCTCCTAAAAGAATGGCAAGATGACATAAACGCCGACCATGAGTGTTTTACTGAGATGGATATGTGGATACAAGCTGAGGGCATACCGTTAAATTGGCTGAGTATAGAAGTGGGCATCAAAATAGGCAAAGCCTTCAAGAACGCAAAGATGTCATCATCTGTGACTCGAGCTCCGGAAGCGGAAGGTGTATCAAAATCCTAGCTACCATCAATCTATCAGAACCTCTGCTCAGATGCTCAAATATCCAACTTGGAGAGAAAATTCAGAGAATTATCTTCAAATATGAAAAGCTACAAAATTTCTGCTACTACTGTGGCTACATTGGACATCTGGAAAGAACATGCTCAAAGAGAAAGGAAGATATTGAAGCGGGGAATCCTCAGAAATGTCAATTCGGTGAATGGATAAAAATCCCGGAATCCAATCCCAGAAACAGACATCATTCAACCTTCTCAGGTAATTCCAACCAATCACCCTCAGCATCTCCTTCTCAACCTGAGAAATACTCTAACCAAGTCTCACCTAACATCTCCCAACCTACACCTCATGCCCAATCTACTAACCCCTCAAATCCCTCAACTCCAGACACTAATCTTTCCTTAACCACTCCTACTCAACAACACCACACACCACAATCCCCTAACAGTCTAGCCATTATCCCTAAACCAACAATGCTGGAAGCTCTTGATTCAACACCTACCCCAATCTTAATATCCCCTGAAATACCAGAACCCCAGCATAACATTGCTATGGAAGACTCTGCCATGCTTCTTGATTCATCTACCCCTATAATGCCCCTTCTCATTAAACCCAATCCCAAAACAACAAAAAAATGGACTAGAAAAGCTAAAGCTAACACTTCACCTACCCCCAAAGACAAAAACAGCACACCCATCTGCAACACACCTAAGACAAAAAGAGGCAGACTTCAATCTGATACAGACCCCATCCCTAACCAATTAAATGATACCAATGAAACCATTACCCCAGCCCCCAAAAAATCCAAATCTTCTTCTTCCAAGGTGGAGGCAGCCAGCCTAGAATGGCTCCCAACTGATAAATGAGAGCTATGGTGTGGAACTGTAGAGGTCTGGGAGGACCTTCTACAATTCCCCAGCTCAAGGAGTCCATAAAACTCCACCTCCTTTGGTTCACCTTTCTTTCTGAAACTAGAAAATCTTCAGCCTTTGTAAATACTGTTTGTAAAAAGCTAGGTTTTGCTGGTCATCATTTATCTATTGACCCCACTGGTCAAAGTGGTGGCCTTCTTTTGCTTTGGAGTAAAGACATTGTGATTCTGAACATCATTCCGCATTATTTCTGCATTGAAGTTGAGTTTCAACACCCTACATCTGCTGCTAAACACTGGGCCATATTTGTCTATCTGAGTACTTCTGCCAATGAAAGAGAAATGCAAAGAAATTATCTTCTCAATGCTAAAAGCAATTGGGGGGACTCCTGGATCATAGGAGGAGATTGGAACGATATCTGCAATAGAGAAGAGAAAAATGGAGGCAGAGATAGAGCTGAGAATAGCTTTTGGGGTTTCAGGAACTTTATTGCTCAGATGAATATGCTAGAAGTTCCTATGACAGGCCATCAATTTACTTGGAGCAATAACAGAATGGGCTCATGTTTTATTGAAGCAAAACTGGACAGATTCTTCACTTCTTTTGGCTGGCTGTCCCTTCACCCTTTAACCTCCTCTTCAAGCATATGTCGAAGCTCATCAGACCACCATCTCATTCTGCTCTCAGATGCTACTAATGAACAGCACTCCAAAAAGAGGTTCAATTTCGACAGAAGATGGCTTGGCAAAGAAGGGATTCAAGAAACCATAACTCAAGCTTGGAACACTCACCACTCTGGCACACCCATGTACCAAGTCCAGAACAAAATAAAAGATACCAGAATCTCTCTGTTGAAATGGAGCAGAAACTTCAGAACTGAGAACTCCAAAAAATTGCTGACTTTTCCAAAGAGCTAGAAATTCTAAGATCTCAAGGGGGAGACAGGGATTGGCACAGATGGCATAGCCTAAAGTCTCAGCTCGACAAAGCCCATAAAGAAGAAGAAGCCTTTTGGCAGCAGAAGTCCAGGATACAATGGCTAAAAGCTGGTGACAAAAACACCCGGTTCTTCCATGCATACACTATGCAGAGGAGGAAAAAAAACCATATTGCAAGACTAGTCAATGAGGACAACTTTCTCTGTGAATCTAAGGAAGAAATTGAAAAATGTGTAGCTGACTTCTATAGCCATCTCTTCTGCTCAGAAGGCACATGGGAGCCTGAAGGACTCCTAGACTGCATCATCAACACCATAGACAGCACCACCAATACCTCACTTCTGGCTCAAGTAGGAGAGGATGAGATCAAGAGAGTTCTTGACAGCATGAACCCAAATAAGGCCCCAGGCCTTGATGGTATGTCCCCTATTTTCTATCAAAAATTTTGGCACATTGTTAAAAATAAATTATGCACTGCCATTCAAAGTTTCTTTGAGTCTAGCCAAATCCTTAAGAGTTGGAACCACACAGCCATCACTTTGATCCCTAAATGCCTGAACCCCACTCATGTCTCAAATTTTAGACCTATAAGTCTCTGTGGTGTTCCTTATAAAATCATATCAAAAATCTTGGCTTATAGACTCAAGCACTGTCTCCACTCATGCATCTCTGAAAATCAAACTGCTTTCATCCCTGGTAGGAGTTTGCTAGACAATGTAGTGGTGGCTCATGAAGCTATCCATTATCTGAAAAAGCATAACTCTGGTAACAAATGCTTCATGGCCTTAAAGCTTGATATGGCAAAGGCCTTTGACAGAATTGAGTGGGATAGCATCAGTAAAATCATGTTAAAAATGGGTTTCCACAGAAAATTTGCTAACTGGATAATGGCTTGTGTCACATCTCCTCACTACTCTTTTAACATTAATGGTGCTGTCAGTGGTTTTGTTTCTCCATCTAGGGGCATCAGACAAGGAGACCCCATCTCTCCCTATCTTTTTATCTTAGTTGCTGAATTGTTTTCTTGCCTCATCAAGATAGCTGTTACTAATGGAGATTTGCAGGGTATTAAACTGTCAAGAAATGGACCCACCCTCAGCCACCTTTTCTTTGCAGATGACACAATCCTTTTCTGCCATGCCAATGTCCAAAATGCCAATACCATCATGCAAATCATGCAAACTTACCAACTCTTCACTGGCCAAAAAGTAAACCTACAAAAATCCTCCATTTTCTTTAGCAAAAACACCCCCCCACAAACCCAACACACTATCTGCACCATGCTACATGGCATACAACACCAACTTCATTGCAAATACCTTGGTCTCCCTCTGCAAATTGGGCACTCAAAAAAACAAACCTTCAATTATGTTGCTGAAGTAGTCAAAACCAGAATCCAGAGCTGGAAAAACAAATTCCTCTCTCCTGCTGGAAGGGAAGTGCTCATCAAATCAGTCCTAAGTGCTTTACCTGTTTTTGTTATGTCATGCTTCATTCTGCCAATTTCAGTCTGTGATGAGATAAACAAACTAATTGCTGAATTTTGGTGGAGCAAAGGTGACAACAATGCTAGAGGCATGCACTGGAAATGCTGGAAACACATAACACTTCCACAGGAAAATGGAGGATTGGGATTCTCTGATCTCAGAATCTTCAACGAAGCACTAATATTTAAACAGCTCTGGAGGCTAATCACCAAGCCCAACCTCCTCATGAGCAAGATCCTCAAATGCAAGTACTTCCCAAAAGGCTCTTTCTTGGAAACAAAACCTCCCCTTAGCAGCTCCTGGCTATGGAGAAGTTGGATGAAAGTATGTCCAGCCTTCTCACAGCATCTCAGAATGATTATTGGTAATGGGCAGTCAGCACTAATATGGGAGCACCCTTGGCTCCACTCTCTTCCACATCTAAAGCCTCAGAGAAGCCCCTCACCTTCTCCTT